GCCAAAGTCCGGTTCGAGTTCGGTTCGAATTTCGAACCGAACTCGAACTCGGGCAAAAGTCCGGTTCGGTTCGGTTCGGTTCATAGGAACACTAGCAGCAGTACATATGCAAAATGAGTTATTACATATAATTTAGTTATTAGATATATTTCATTACATCATTAAATAAATACTAAAGCTGATTTTGGGATAATTTCAAATGTTATATATAAAAAAGTTATATATCAAATATAAATTTGTCACGTATATGTATAAAGTATGACTTTTTAAATATATATTACTATCTTTTACTATCTAAATTATCTAAATTCTCTAGCTTTATAATAATCTTTTCAAAAAGCACAATAATTTCACGAAGAAAAAAACACAAACAGAAATTAATTTCAAATACAACTTGATTATACATACATTTTCAATTCCAAATATAGATTATTAATGAATAATTTTAAAAAACTAAAAATATAAATATTCGAAATATTAATATACATAAACTTAAATATCTTATAACTATAATTATAATTAATTAAAATATTATATAATTTAACAGATTATAAATCAGATAGAATTATTATAAATTAAAAAAATTAGATAAATAGAACGCGTAGCAATAAATCTGTTGTAAACCAAACCAAAATATTAAGTACATACGTATTGTGTAATTATTTTTATAATAAGATATACATTACTTAAATGAAATTTATTTGGTATACATTAATTATATATACATTTCTAATAGTAATACGATTAATTTCGGATCAGCTACTTACTGTAACTATCGCAGCTTTTATGGACATGCATTTAAACTTAGTAACTTTTCTTACAATTAATTTGTAATTATATTTTTTTAAATAAATAAATTGAATTACATAATAAAAAATTTAGCTAAATTTATTTATTGTTCACGTAAAATTAGGATAACTTGCATTAAAATAAAAATTAAAACTATTAAAATCTTTAAAGTTAGAAACACTTAAATTTTTAATTTAAATATCTTATCTTAAATAATAAATCAAAAATGAATATTAATTATTTTTCATAGTACAATAATAAATTATAATACAATTCATATTCATAGTATATTCTTAAATTAATTAAATAATTATATTGAACTAAATATCAGATATAATAATTCACAAATATAAATTTACAATTCATTTGACATTCAGAATTATTTATATCTATTTTTTTAATAAGTGCTTAAAATTTAATTGAAAATTATAAATTTTAATAATATTCAAAATCATAATTAAAAATAAAAAATAACTAATAATTAGTAAATTTCATTGATAATAATAAAACCATTAAAAAATAAAAAATTTAAAGAAACAGTAGGTATTGTAATAGATTAAGTGAATAAATAAAGCCAATTTAATTTGTCAAAATATTTTACGAAAAATTTAATACTTAATTGAAATATTTTTAATTTAACAAATTTTACAACTACAAATAAAAGGTTTATCTTTTTTCACTCAAAATTAGAATTTTTTATTTCTGCTTTTAAAATTAGAAGAAAATCACAATCGCAAAAATTTTTCGACGAGGAGAGTAATTATTAATATAATATTGTAAAAGAAATATATATATTTAAATTGTATTATAAAAATTTTTATTTATAATTTAAAATATTAAATTTCATAGTTATTAATTCATACAAAAATTTAATATATTATATAGAAATTTAATATGCATCAAATAGAAAACATAATCTCAAAATTAAATACAAAATTAGAAAGCACAAATAATATTAATTAAATTTCCAATATAAATTATTCTGATATCTAATAAATATATAGTTCAAAATATAAATTTACTAATCAAAAATGTTATATAATTAAATAGGTATACAAAATATCAATAGTAAATTTTAATATAATCTTGATGATGCTTGAAAATAATAATAAAAAACAAAAATTTTTCTAAATCAATCATGAATCAACAATTATTAAATGATAAATTAGATTCGTATTTTAAAATTTACACCACAATATAATAGCTTAATGAAGTTGTCACGTTGCATTAGTGTAAATATTTTTATTAATATATTTACAAACAGTAAAAAATTAAGCTTTCAAATTCAAACAATAGTAAATACAATATATTTGACAATATACGGCAATATCTCAAAAATCTTATTTACCAAATAGCCTTCGTTCGATTTTTTGAATATTTAATATACATGTAGTTATTGGAAAGTTTACCATGTTGAAGTTGATATATCGAATGTTAGTTTGTAAACTTGTTTAATTGCCAGACGTCATTGCAAGTAAATATTGAAGGCTAAGACAGAGAATTGCCATGGTTCAGTTTTTCAATTCTAGTTTAGCTACCAGGAAGTTGATCAGTAACTGAAAGTAATTTGTAATTGAGAATCGAAACAGTAGAGCATCGTTATTGTTAATGTTAACAGACTTATTAATTTTTCATTATATTGGAGTTGTAAATATTACAATGAACAAACATATCGTGCGAGAAATAATAAATATAATGCAATATAAAAAATTGTAAAAGGTATCGACTATTGTGCTATTCTATCTTATTTTTGTAGTAAAGAATTTATTCTTTTAATTCAATGAATCAAAGAAATAATTTATCTCAACTTCGTTGTCAACTTTCGTGAAGATCGGATAAAGCAACTCTCATATATTTTTATTTTAAATTACTTGATTGAATCTCAGAATCATATGGGAAAAAAATTTGTTAGGTGTTCAAAAATTTAATCAACTGACTGGCATGATGCACGTCAAGTGGTTTATTGAACCAAAAAATGCGCTTCACCTTATTATAAAGATAAAGTTGCTACCTTAACCACATAATTGTACACCCTAAGTTCTGAGTCATGTGGTTGTTCGTTTGGAAGCAAATTGATATGAGATAATAGCATTAGAAGTAAATAAATGCAATATAGTCTAGTTGTTATTTTTATCTTTGATTTTATCCCACGAGCGACTAATCATCTGGATTCCAAAGGTTATTTGATTACATCATAACAGCCAGATCATTACTAAAAGAAAGTAAAAGATATTTCTTTCTTGAATTTCTTTTAAACGAGGAATATGACGAAAAATATTTACCTAATAATTTTTTCATCTATTTAGTTTCCGTAAAGAGTCGCAGAATATGAACCATTTACAAAACTCCTATAAATAAAGAATGACTTTGTAAATTATAAAGAGCAATAACAACACGTGCACAAGTTTACAATATGGAATTTTTTTGTCTCCCTTATGGTGCATAACATCTCAAACGTTTGTATTTTATAAAATGTATAAACATCTTTACTAAGAAGTAAATTCAAAATTTAATCCGTGAATATGCTCAGAAAGGGCCTATTCTACCATATTCACGGATTGAAATTTATATTTACTTCTTAGTAAACAAGTTTATACATTTTATAAAGCACAAATGTTTGATGACTTTAGATGTTATGCACCATATAACAAAAAAAGGGTTAAAATAAAAGGTAAATTGCTTCTTTCAAAAAGCATATTATTAGCCCACTTAATTAGTGAATTGTGATGGATACCGAAATGTACCGCGCATTATGCTAGAACATATACGAAAATTATTTGCCTAGGAAAGTCTAGGAAGCATTAAAATAAAAGATCCAAAAAAGAATTAATAGTTTATGTGGTCTTAATTAAACATGATGTGAGCGAAAATAGCTATTTTATTTCCTCTTACATTATATTTGTAATTTTAAACATATTATTTTAGTTTATGCCGTCACAGCCCCTCTAATGAGACTAAAAATTATAGATAAATAACGATTAAATTCTATCGCATTACGATTGATCATGTATCTGGCATCACATAAAAAATATTAATTTTCACAACCAAAATATGATTTCAGTAGTGTAATGTCGAAAACAAATATGTCAGATTTGACATTTTGAAGTGCAACGAATTCAACAGATGAATTAAAATTGCTGCTAGCGAGAATAAGTTTTTCAATTTTTGCACAAATGTTCTATTACGATATGGTTCAATCTTTTAATAAAATCAATATTCATGCCGTTAATTTTTATCTTTATTATCTATATTGAGCTTAATTAGATGAAAAACATTTTGTGTTTATCAAGAGATAACAAGATTTATTGCTCGTGAGAAAAGTTTACTTCTCTAATGAAAACCATGATTTCATTGACATAACTACTGTATACAAATCTGAATTATGACTGCCTTGCACTCAGATTTTTTCTCATTTACAACTTGTATTCCAAAAGAATCTAAATAACATAATCTAATTTTATTGTATCATTGAACATTCAGATAAAAACTTCCTCATACACTAAAGTAGACTTACAAATATATCATCGCTATTGTTATGTCAATTTTTTGATTAATAGTGTGATTATTGTATTATGCATGATTTATAAATTCATAAAGAAACTATAGCTATCGTCAATTTTTTTTTGATTAATGCAAATGCATAATTTATCGTTATCTTGAATTTATAAACATGTTTATCTCTACGTATCGGTATTGACTGAAACGAGTATATAGGAACGAGAAATTTCCAGTCGAAATTTCTTTAGAATTCTTACAATTCGACACAAACACATGAATGCAAACATTTTTGCCGTCCTTTATCCGATCTTTTTCACATTAGCTTTTGCTAATACCGAGAAAAGATCTTTTTTCCAACCACACCCAAAACACGAATCAAATTCTAATAGTTCTTCTCAAACTAATGCCTCTTCAACTTCTGTAAACGATAAAACTTATATACCTGAATCCGAAAATGTCGATACTTCGATGAAAAATATCACCGCCAATTATCACAATAAGTTGCAATCATCTGAAAGTGAAATCGAAGAAACTGAATATAATGATGAATGCTATCAGCCCTGTTGTCGACGTTGTTTAACACTTCGTTGGGGACCTCAACTTGTGCGTAGGTGCCTGTTTCAGTGTGCTGAAAAATGTGGTATTGATGACGGAAGAAGTGAAAAAGAATTGCGTAATATTTGTCTAATTTGAATTTAGTTATAGCCTGTTAGTTTTTATAATTTAAAGGTGAAATATCTTAATTTGTTTCAAATGCAATGAATAGACTATTGAAATACTCTTAAATTAAATTCATTAAAATAATGTCATATAAATAGCTATTTTAGTATTTTGTAACAAAAATGCACGTTCCCTTAATTTGAACAAAAGGAATAGATCCAAGATGGATTAAATACCAACTGTTCATTATTAGTCTATAACCTTCAAATAAATACTGTTGAGGAACTTAAAAAATGGCTTTTTCGAATCTTTCCAATCAGAATATTATTTGGAACTGAATACTTTGCATTTCCGTACTATAGCTCTTTAGAATATTCTAACTATAGAGTGCCTTAAACTAGAATGGCAGAAATGGCATGAACTTGATGAGAAGATGGTATTTCCACAAATATAAACCAAAGTCAAAATCCAGTCGAACCTTTAAACTCACTATTTTATTAACTTCTTCAATTAACATATTTCGATTTTAGTATACCACATGAAATTCATGGGAATGAAGAAATATCGGGTGTCCTACAAGAAAACCTACAAATTTATGATGAAACACTTCCAATAAATAAGAGGCATGTTGATAGTTACGTACTTTACTTTACTTCCAATAAATAAGAATATTGATAGCCACTTTGTTAACGTTAAAGGCTAAAAAAAATTAGCGTTAGAGATTAACTGTGTTTATTATTTTAATCATTACTTTTATCAAAATTTATTTATAACGATAACAAGAAACGCGATAATGTTTTGTTATAGTTTTCGTTTATCACGTACGTTTGCGAAATTCTCATCGCTTCTTACTATGTTTTTAATATAGCAATTAACTGCAAACATTAAATTATCTTCTATGTACTTTAATAGTAGTAGTCGTCTAATTTATTGAACGGGTACATTATATAACATGATTATCTTTTTAAAACATAATGGTAATGATAAATACGATAACGGAAGTTCTGTGAAGGTACGGCCCTTCGTTTAACATAATAATAACCTACACACATAAAAGCATCATTATATTTTCCCATCATTCAAAGTTTCAAATAAAACACAGCACATCGTCACTAAAAGATGGGATCTGACATACTACGTAATACTAATGTGAACTCGAAGATGGAATATTTTCGTTGTTAAATGATTACAGTACTTCTGTCATGATTGTAGTAAATGTACAGATTTCAAAAAAAAAAATGAGTACAGTTCTGCTGGAGATGTCTTAATTATCACGAAAGAATTTTTTTTAAGCCGTGAAAATAAAGATATGAACAGTCAAATAAATGAATGCGTAAAATTTGGAACACGAATCCCATTTGAATGGATCTCTTTGAAAGATTCACCGATGTTGAATATCTTGAAAAGGAGTGTGGAACAATTTATAAGCATCATTTCACGATTATGAGTCGAAAATAAATTTTAATCATTTGAAAGGTACGACGTTCTATTGCACAAATTACAAGCGAGATAAAAAACGAACCATCTATAGCTTCATATAGCATTTCAAGAAAAATTTTTGTTGAAATAATAATTTTTAAAAGACAGAGAATGCAACATAATTTTTCTCAACGCTATTACCATATACATGTACAAATGTGAATAATGGGCAATATCTTGTATAATGATATAATGAAATGAGTGATATTAGAAAAGGTAATTTTCTATAACAATAATAAAAGAACTTCATAGATGTATGTAAATATGTATACTTAAATTATCAATTATTATTTTTGTATATATAATAAGGCTAAGATTGCTATTCAAAATATTCTATTTTAGTTACAAAGAAATTTAATAAATTTTAAAAACATTGTTATTGATATATCCAGCCTTCATTAGTTATCAAATATTTGTAATAAAGAGTCAAATTTAAAAATATAATGTATATAATGTATATATCAATAATAATAATAATTTTCACTTTGAGTGATGAACAAAAAGATTATATCAAAATTGTATGAAATGTTCCTGTAGTTGTTATTATAATAAAAAAGTAATTTTATAATTGTTTTATAAAAAATAATTATTTTTATATAATTAAAGAATTTTGTAATTTTGAATTAAAAATTAAATTTTATATTAAGAACTTGAAGAATTTTATAATTTTGAATTAAAAATTAAATATTATATTAAGAACTACATTCAATAATTTTCAATAACATGTATATGAATTTTGTTTCTTGTAAATAAAGTATTTTTATTTGTAAATTAGTTTACACTTAAAACATTGTTTTTATATTGTTTCTATTAAAAATTTTTTAAGCTATATACGTATATAATGAGCTTGGTGCTATTTTTCGCATTATACGTAAAATTCATGCCATTTTATTTGTAATTGTTTATTATTTGTGTTCATAATTTTAAAATTATAAATTGTATATTATAAAATATATAAGCAAAATTAAAATCAAATACTATAACTATATTTAATTATCATAAATACACCAACGTTATTACGTTCAAAAACTTAGAAAAACATTCAAAAATTTTGTATTTATTTTCTACGCCATAACATCGCCGAGAAGGATTGCTTTGATAATATTATATATTTATTTCTTGAAAAAAATATTTTACTATTAAATAATAAAGAAACATTATTTAATATAAATGACTTTAATAATGTACATATTATGCACTATATTTATATTATCATATTCCTTGTTAACTATTTTATTTTTAGCCTCTTGAGGTTTGCTTCTTTCTTTTAAAATTTGTTATATAATTTTAATTGTACATAGTTTGTTTAACCAATTATTAATATTTAAGTATATAATTTTACATATTAAAATTTTTTAAAAATGATAATTGTATTATTTTGTTAAATATGCCATGTCTTTTAATTTAACACATCTGATCGAAAATAACTTGATAGTAAGAATAAATAAATAAAAAATAATAAATTACAGCAAGAACTTCTAATGTATGTTCATTTCTTTCTCTGCAGAGTCTTTGACCTCTTCTTAATTATTCTAGTAAAAAATTATGAATGTATTTTGATTGTTATTTGATATATTACTTTTAGCAATATAGATATTATATTTAAATAAATTAAAAAATTAATTTTGCAATTATTTGATACTTACTAAATTAAATAGAATTCAATATTTATAAAAGTAAATATTCTTGTAAAGTGACAACACAATTTAATTTTAATCTTTATTTAAGTAAATTAATTTTATTACATTGTACATGTAATTAGGGTTGTTGATCGGTTCTACATGTACATGTATTAAATCATAGGATCGAGCTGGCTGACGGTCCTAATTGTAAATATTTGTAAATGTTTATAATAATCAAAATATTTTGATTAAACTATATTTAAATTTTTTCTGATGAAATTAATTTTCTTTAAAGAGATAAATTTTAGATGTTTTTCATGTATTAATAAATTTCAATACATGTTATTATTCATTATATAAAATAAACTGAATACGTATTCAAGTTTTATAAGTTATTAAATTTGAAAAAATTAAAATTTGAAAACATATTTGTAAAAAATACTTTATTCTTCGGTAATTGTCCTTTTATTGATTATTTTTATTCTTTAAAATTAATCAAAATTTTTGATGTGATTAGATGGATTGCACTATAGTAAAAATAATTGTTTCAATATAAAAAACTAATTGGAATGGCTGAATTTGGGGGTTGGCTAAAGCCTGGTGGGTCCGGTGATCTGTCCGAGAAACAAGCCAATATTAATGCGCAAATTTTTGATCAACCCTGAAAAATAAATCCGAAGCACAAATGTAAAAATGAAAAATATGAAAAATGCATGCTTTTATCTATCTTGGAGCACTAATTAAAAACGTTGGGGAGGCAATTTTACATATACTCTCGCCCTCCACTCTAATCCTAACCCTAGCCCTAACGCTAAAAAATCAACCTTTAACACTATGATAAACACGTATCACATGTCCACCAGGCTTTAGCCACCCCCTATTTGGAACAAGATGGCACAATTATCGTTATCGTTATACATGTACACGTTTTTCCATATTTGGTAATTCTGACATTAATACGGCCGACCAATTAATTACTAATCAACAATTAATAATTCGTCCGTGGGAAAAAGGTAGAATTAATTCTACCACATGTATAGCACAAATTAGCAAAAGACATAAACTCTTAAATTTATAGTCCACAACACAATTATTCAGTTCAAAGTTTCAAAAATGAAACAATTGACTTTTTATTGACATTTAGACATGCGAAATTTTATTAATCTTGTAATTGAAACAAATACAAGCAATTAATTTTACTATCATCCGAGTTTTATGTTTACTTGAAAGCATGTTATTTATATGGATTACAAGAATGCATTGAAGCAGGAATGGCTAAATAAATATCAAAATTTTAATTATAATTACGTACTGCTTCGTATATCTTCAAGATATTTAATTATGATCCTACAGTATGAAGTGAAACAATTGATTCAAGTCATTTGTTCCAACGTATAATCTTTTTTGTCTTGAATACGATTGGATAACTAAACGAACGGGTTTAATGGCACGGGAAAATGGCGCCAATACTCTTAATGCAAGATTAGCGTCGACATTCATTATTGTTACTGGCATAAGCGTCCAAAATTGTCCAATTTACTTGTGACGGCTAATTCACCCTTATGAACTAAAACAAATCTTAGACAAACGAATTACGTAATATTTAATGTGAAGTTCATCCTTGGCAATCAGAAGTACATGTATCATGTGAGTACAGAATCTTTTCTATCCAAAATGTGATTTATCAAAGCTTTGCGACAATACCACGCTCAAACTCTAAACAAAGATAACATTCTAATGAAATTAATTTTTTCTATGATCCTTTCTAGCAAATGTCAAAATATCTTTATACTGGTGAAGTTATTTATAAAAAAAAGATGGGTCCGTAACTGCACGCAAAAATACTGTTACTATACGAAATCGCAGATAAAAACTCAAGTTATGGCCTAAAGCTTAGACGAATATTATATTACGTCATTTTGCATCTTTGAAAATTCAACAGAAATACTCCTTTTGCGGGCAACCGGGGGGGGGGTATAACTTGAACTGGGCTGAATATCTTGAGCTCAACAATGAGACTTGATAAAGAATTATTGTGCGATTTGCCTTTTAATTTGAACCAATTACGTATCGACGATGTTGATTTTTAGTACACAATCACAACATGTTATGGCCGAACACCCCATAATTGATTTTCTCAAAGCGATTGGAGTTTAATATGTTGTTTTTGTAATTATTGTTTTCTTTTGAGACCTTCTCAAACATCATTTACATTATAAAATATACAAAATAATTGGCATGCAAAATCGGCATTTCTTCCCACACTCTAAAACAAATAGTAGCGGTAAGACAAAAACTAACAATAGCTATCGTTATTAACAAAGAATGCGAGCAAGTTTATTTTCCCATATACATGTTAGCTATTGTATATTCGTGTATGACCGACGGCAATTCTATTTCTGTTACCAGTAATAATCAAATGTACAGCTGATCTGATCATGAGTTAACGTTAATAATATTGACCCATCTCAGATCGAAAATTAAATATAAAAGAAGCTTTATCTTTTCCAGCACTTGACATTAACTTCCTCAACAATTAATCCTTTGAATATTTAACATTGGCAATAAAATTCTTTGTATTAAGCACTAACAATTATTTAAAAATGTTCAGACATAAAATAATCCGAATTCAAACAGCATCAAGAAAAGCATGTATTTCATATGATGCACCTTCCCATCTATCGATCACGTGGGGTAAATTAACCGTCACAAAATTACATAACGAAGGTAGACAACTTTGGTCACTTGTGCCAGCTACAGCACCAAACCAAACAGACGGTTTATGGTTAATTAATGTCGACGCTAATCTCGCACTAAGATACGACTTGGACACTGGCGACATTTTTCCCGCGCCATTAGACAAAAAAGACATGTCGTTCGTTTGGTCAGTTAATCGTATTCAAGTATGGAAGGACCAAGAAGATTATGCGTTCTCGCCAATTGGAAAGCCTCATCGACGAATGACCACTGAGGTTGTTGAAGTGCCAGCTTTTAGCAATGGCACGGTTTGTCATGCCATACATATTATGAATATTCGTCTTGTTGGTGATGCTGGATCACCAGCAAACCAAGCTTGGGTTATTAAGCCAGAGGTTTTGCCTTCGCTGACTCCAGAAAAAGCTATTACTGACTCTCCAATTTATGCTGTAGGAGCTTATTAAATATTTGTAGTATATGATCATAACATATTATTAGCATGTACATGAATAAAATGATTATCGTTATATTTGAATCACATCAAAAAGTGGACCATTTATTGTACTGGAAATTTCTGACTTTAAAAGTCAAAAAACCTGGAAAACCCATATTTGTTTTACTTTAAAAACTGTATTTCTGGACAAACTGGAATAACATTGGTACATACATATCTATCAAGATTAAAATAAACAGTGTAACATGCACATGTACAGTACCCCAAAAGTAACGCCCCGGTCCAAAATTATATAATAAAACATATAAAAAATGTAAATCTTCAAGCTGTCGCTATGTACGTACGTATATACATGTACGTATCTAGATTTTTTATATTGATTATTTCTAATTTTATATCAGTTTAAAGCTAATTGATTGTATTTTTGAAAATAATACAAGACTTATGGCAACTTGAAATAAAATTTTGTCTCACTATATATGAAAAAAAAATTTATATGAAAATTTCAAGTTATATATATCTATATTTCTATTAATAATTATTTCTAAAATTTTTTATACTTTAAAGCTAATCAATTGTATCTTCGAAAAAATGAATAGACTTATGGAAATTTTAAAACGAAAGAACTGTTTTAATTATAAAATCAACAAAGAATTTTTTATGTATTTTACTATATAATTTTAAATCGGACGATACTTTTGGGGTACATGTACTTTATGACATAGGAACACACATTACCATTACGCCATTAAACGAGGACAAATACAGTGCTCGTCAGAAGTACGTAACCTCCTCCCCATAACTTGCGTAGATTATGTGTAATGTACCAAAATTTTCCGAGCACAAAGAACATTACAGATGCCTGATCATTGATACATTTTATAGATTGGTAGAGCCTCTATATTGCGTATTGTATGTTCATAAACTTTCATGTCTCAATACATGCACAATGAATCGGTCATTTTAGGACATAATATTGTTACCGGGTAAGAATAATTTTGTTAATCTCCCAATTTTGGTAAAACCCGCCTGACCCGATTTCGTCAGTTTATTTTAGCTTTAAAATTCTATTTTAATTTCGCTTTTGTTTTCTATTTTAAATTCGCTTTTATTTTCTATTTTAAATTCGCTTTTAATCTCGCTTTTATTTTTGCTTTTGATCTTACTCTTGTTTTCTATTTTTTTTCAATCTTAAATTCTCTCTTAAATAATGGAATACATCATGCAACAAGTTCCGAAACAATACTTCATAATGTAATCAAAAAGATGTATATATAGTCCTCGCAGACGTTAATAAAGACACAGAATAAATTGCGCACAATTCTTCTCCAAGAAAATTAAACTTCTAAAAATTGTTGTAATTGATTGTGGTTAGGTCCTTTGATTCAGAAAAGGCGTTGATATTGTTAACGGCATATTGATTGATTGATTGAAAAGGCGCTTTGTGATTGAACAATTTACTAGAAAAGCAACGATTGGAAGTTAATAAGAAGAATATTGTCAATAAACTGACACATAAAACATAAAACCCAAAACCATCTCACCTAAAAACCGACCCATCCAAACCCCCTCTCTACCGTCATACTGAACGATATCCGTAGATATCGGCACAGGAACGAATACCATTCAGTCTAATCACTCCCAACCCATTGTTGCAGGTAAAATCGTCGATTACGCCTAATCACGATCCACCCGTGACAATATCTCAACGTCTAGTGATCCAATTTGAGCGAAAATACCACCATTTGATTTGCCTAGATTAGAAAAATCGGATGGTCACTAGACGTCGAGATATTCATATTTGTCGATCAATCGTTCATTAGAAATTGATCGCCGAAAAATTAGCCAATCTAGGACGTGAATCCAGTGAATAAAAATAATATATTTGATTCACCTCAACTGGACGAATCGAATGGTTGTATGTTTGTTCACTGAACGTCAAGAATTAGATTATTGAATATTGAGATATGTGTTACGAAATAACAACACCGATCGGCATTGTAATGTCCTTTGTGCTCGGAAAATTTTGGTACATTACACATAATCTACAGAAAGTTATGGAAGTAGGTTACTTCTGATGAATACTGTACGTACATGTAAATGGTACATGTATTTATCGTTATCATTATTATTTTGACTTGTGTCAAAGAAGAGCAACATCAATTTTTGTGCAAAAAGAAGCTCTTTACTTCTATTTGTGTGTGTGCAAATAGCTATCATTTATACGTCGTTTCGGAATTCTATTGTTTCAGAATTCCAAAATGATGTGCTATTTTGGAATTCAAAATTAATGTGTGTCAAAATGGCGTGTCATTGTAATAAACGTTAACGTTAATGTTAATGGATTTAGCGTCAGTAATTCTTTATGCCAGTAATACGAAACACTGATAAATACGTATTATTGCTTAGCGTTAGTAGATTAAGGGTTGAACTATATTATATGTAAAATTACCTTCTCGACATTTTTAATTGATGCCTCAAGCTGTATTTCATTTTTTTGCACGTGTCAGATTTTAATGCCGGGTTGACGGCTTGTGCTACCTGGGATATCCATTTTGTTATTTTCAATTTCTTTCACATTTTCGGATTGATGTTGAATAGTTCAATATTAACCGGGATCTAATTCGAACTATCTTTTTTACAAACTCATAGTTTCATCTGTTTTTATCAATGTGAACGGAACTAGTTTTATATCTAAACGGGGGGTTATTGTTCTTTTTTTATTGATAGATAAATAAATTCATATCGATATCGTATACGAACTAAGAAACATACAAGTGTAACCATACTTTACATACAAGTGTAACCATACTTTATGCATTCGTTAATCCCTTAATGTTGACAGGCACATCCGATCTTGGCTAGATATACATGTTCATGTACTTGGTGATCTAAAAATAACGATAAATTGCATTTTATAACTTCTTAATTAGGAAATAACGATAAATACAGAATTTAACGTTACCGATTTCACTAAATCATAGATTTATTATTTAACTAACCTCCATTTGTATGTCTTTTGTGTTATAGAACTTCGTGTGTGTGAATCAATTCTGCGTTAAACTGTATTTGATATATTAAAAGAAGAGACTTCATTTGTCAATTAAATTTAATATCATGTCTGATTTATTGGAATAATAAAGATAAGTGTTTAGATCGAAGTTAATTAAATAATGTAGTCTAACGTGTTGCTATATTAATTTATCCGAACTCATTTACCCCGACATGATGTTTCCCCGAATGGAGATTTCCCTGACAAGATGTTTTCCCAACATGATGGGATATTCTGATATAATGTATTAACTGGCTGGTTTTGCATGGAATTAACAGGTTAGAGTTAAGATTATATATAAAGGTCCTCCCCAATATTTTTGCTTAATACACCAAGCTAGATTTGTCAGGAAAATGTTATTATGTCGATGAAATGTCATGTCGGAGATATGGGAAATGTTGTGTTTGGGAAAGGGGTTTAGTCTAAGAAGGGATAACGGATATCTCATTATCCTAGCTTCTCGAATTAATGTTTCAGTTAATAATTCTCTTAGATATTCTTCCCGAATTTTGACTCCTTTTAGTGTTACACGATCCAACGAACAAAGAGGAACGCTTTCCCACTCTTTTTCGATGTACATAGTCCTCGAGTCACAAACTGGGTCCTATGCTAATGCGCAACAATCATATGTCCATTAGGAATTTTTTAGTGTAACTTGCGTCGAACCAATTAGAAATTCAATATCGCGTTATGTAGTAAATAATATAACGATAATGATAACATTATAATTGATGTAGTTATTGTACTTGTTGACTCCAAACGACGTTTTCGGGTTGGGGAAGGAATTATAATTTATTCTTCTATCATTGTTCTCATTACTTTCTACACAGTGAAACTCGAGTTCGGGATCATCTAACGCTAACGCTAATTAA